CTTTTCCTCATTTTAAAATTGAAAATAACAATAGTACTTACCTAACAGGGTTCTTGTAAGGATTAAATAAATTAAGACACTAAATCATTTGCCTGGCACTTGATAACCCCTTAACAAATGTTAGCCATTATTATTATTATTAAACTTGTTATTATTATTGTGGGTCAGGCATTCTGCAGGGGATATAATAGAAATTAAAATAGAAAAGAGATATTTTCCCAAATGAAGGAGAACAGTTTTTCCATTTTAGGTGCTAAGGAAATTGGGTCTAAAATTGGGACCCTCGTACTTCTTGGTCAGCAGTTCAAGGCTAGGACGAGGGACTTGAACACTGTACTTCCAAGATGGTTTTACCAGAGCCCTGTGCTCCTCTTCTGAAATGCAAACAATAGCAGCTATTGTATATTCAGTGTTTACTCTGTACCAGGTAGTTTACATAAATGATCCAATGGAATCCTCAGATGAAGCCTACAAATTAGATATTGATATCTGCATTTTTGTGGTTGAGAAAAGTAAGGCTCAAGGTAACTTGCTCAAGGTCATACAGCTGGCAAGTTGTAAAGCTTGGATTTCAGTCCAAGTCTGCCACAAGAACCTGACCATTTAACCACACATTAGGCTTGCTGTGTTTTATTCCACTGTGCTAATAACATCTAATGCCAATGTTTACTCAAGCAAAGTAAAATTGCGAAGTGACTAATACTTTGATTCAAATAGATTTATTGTTTTCCTGTAATGCAGGAGGTACTAGGCCCTTATGAGGACCTGTGAAAAGAGAATAATAAATCAGAATAGAGAGACTTGAGGGGTGGGGACACCAGTGATGAACATCCTAATATGGTCTCAGGATTATCGGGCAAGGATTATAACTTTGTACCTTTATATTTTGGCACAAATTAGACTTCTGAATTAGGGTTTGATGCCTGGATTCTTCCTTTTTATTGTATTCCCAATGCTTGTTTTCAGTTAAATTCCATTGGCTACAAATGTATATGGCTGGAACATACATTTTGCATATTTTTCCAAATGTAACCTTATTTGATTAAGCAAAGGAAATCCGTCAGATTTCTTAGCAAGCTTGGGGACCTTATGCTCCTTATAGCTATTGTTTTACATTGCCCTAAATATGGGTACCTGGCAGAGGGATGCTAGGCTGCAGCAGATGTGGTTAGGATGGGAACATTATAGAATGGGGCCCACCACACAAGGCTGTTAGAAAAGGTGGTCTGCAGCTCACAGTGGCGAAGATTGTTCTTCTACCCCATTCTGCGGAAAATAAGGGTATTGTGTTTGTGTGCCTCAATTCAAATACATTGGTCTGTTATCAATCTCTTGACTAAGCCCAAGGGCTGAGATCATACATTATTGGAGGTACTACCTTTAATAGCAAGAATTAAATTACCCTTTGGTTTCTTGATCTCTGCAGGTGCCTTACTTTTTGTTCAAAATTGATGTTGCCGTTTTGTCCTTCAAGTGATGGCTTTTCAAGCTAGGCACGTTTTAATGTACACTTATGAGCACAAAATTATTTGGAAGTCAGTTTTGTTTCTTCCCAGACACAGCAAATCTGAACTGATGGTAGTCAACTTAACAACAGCATGAACCATTATACTGAACAAATTCAGATATTACTGCTCCTGATCCAGACCTTATTCTCTTGGATAAAAACTTTGAGAGCCTAGGGTAGAGCTATCTAAAGTCACAGAATAAAAATCAATGATATGTTTTAATTATCATTCATAATTCATTCTTTCAGGTTCAGGTCTATACGGTAGGCAAAAACAATAGGCTTAGTCATCAGTGGTTTCACCATTTTGGACTGTGATGTCAACAAGGTCACCTGTCTGACAGAAGTTCCTGCCAATTCTGTCTTACCTTTTTGGAGCAGTAGTGAGAAGCTGGGATAGAGGCCTGTAGAGAATGCCTCTTCTTCCTGTGTTCCAACCTTTACTTTTTCTCTTTCTCATCATTTGTAGCAAGTGCAAATAGAGACTTTTTGTGAGTGATGCTAACAGAGTGTGCCCTCCACATATGGGAAGAGGCAATTCCCTTTGCTGAGGGCACAATGGATGAAACAGGAACTCAAACCAATTACAGTACACTCCAAGGCCTGGAAGTGACAGTGGGCTATTGTGACAGCCCCTCTTTTGCAAGTGAATGCTGTTGCTATAGCTATGCTGTTTTCCTCTCTACCATACTTTTGTGGCTGTGAGTACATGTGTTGTCTAGGCTAGATAATCCTGAAGAACGGCCTTCAGATTTCTGTCATCTTGGGGAGTTTCTGTCAGTCAACTCCAATGGGTCAATCTGGGAGCACAAAGGCCAGGACAGCCTGGCCAGCTGAAAACCCAGTGTGCTGGATCAACTCAGAGGTGGGAGTGTTGTTTTTGAGTTTTAATCTTCACTTTTGGCTGCAGATAGATGCAGTTTCTTTCCCAGAAGGTTCTGTGCCTTTCAAAATAGAACACTAGCATTCTGTCTGCTTTTAGGAGCTTGCTGCCATGTTTTTTTTTTTTTTTTCCCCACTTATTTGTTTTACTAGTATTGATTTTATACTCCACTTTCCATCCTTCACTTACTGTCATAACCTACCAAAGCCCCCAGAAAACACTCAGGGTCCTGCAGAAATTCCAAAGACAATCAAATGGAACATCTGAGAATGTCAGGGGGGGAAATAGTGAAAACTTCTTAAGGGAGCTAAGCGTGTGCTAGGTAAGTAAGTGTGGATACCTTTGCAGCACATGTCATCCACTCATGATCTATTTCTACAGAGTACATCTTGAGACAGGGTGATGAAGAAAGATCATTGAAATAAAACTCTCTGGAGACTGAGGTATTGATTTCTGCTCTGCTAGTAGTTAGCTCTGTAATGGGGGGCAAGGTTTTTGGCCTGAACAACTAGAAGAATGGAGTAGCTATTAACATAGTCTGAGACATTGTAGATGGTTAAGAAGGATTTGGGGTGAAGATGATGAGTTCAACATTGGGTATGTTAATTTTTAACATCCAAGTAGAGATATAAAAGTAGGCCATTGACTATACGAATCTGGAATTTAGGATAGAGTGCTGAATTGGAAGTATAAATCTGAGAGTTATGGCATAGATCTATCTAGTACTTAAAGCCATGTGAACAAAAGAGATCACCAAGGAACTTAGTGTGGACAGAAAAGAGGACCAAGGACTGAGCTGTGGGGCACTTCAACATAAAGAGAGAGGTCAGCGAGATGAAGAAGAACCCTTATACAGTCTATAAAAGTGTCTACAAGCTAAATTTGGCCCCTGGAATAGACCAAGTGTTAGGAATTTCCACATGAGTTCAGATCCAGTAGGGACCACAGGGGACATATATTTCAATCAAGAATGCTAAACTAAGAAACAGGAGATTTGGATTTTACTCCTTATTTTATGCTCAGGTTGGTGAACTCGACAGGTCATGTAACTTCTCTGCGTCTCCCTTTCTTACCTATAAAGTTACATAGACAAGATGACTTCTAAGGTTTAGACATTATGATTCTATATTCTCATTTCACAGAGTAAGAAGCTGAAGCACAGAGAAAGGTGATAAGTGACTTTCTCAAACATTCTGGCATTGGACACTAATCACAGGACAGGATACCTTCTCCTCTACTGATGTCTTAAAACAATGCATGAGTATTAGAATCAATTGGGAGCTTTTAATAATGCTGATTGCTGGGATCTCAAACTAAATGCACCTCTTTTTGTTGGTCTTGGTTGGGTTTGGCACTGCTATTTTTGACACTTTTCAGGTAATTCTAATGTGCAGCTGGAGTTGAAAACCCCCACTCTACATTAACAAGACATGGCAGTGTCCAGCTAGCTGTTACACCTCTCTGCATCTTGATTTCTATTTTCAACAAAAAATGATTCACTCAATTTTAAGCCTTTTTTTCACATGAAGATTGTTACAGGAGCTTAGCTTTCTAGACCTTGTGAAACCAAAGTAACAAGTATCAGCTTTCCCTGATGCTCAGTAAAATGGCATGACCATAGCTTTCTTGAACTCCATCCTAGAAGTGAAGTGACATGGAAAACCATGAAGCCATGGCCGCGTGTGTGAGGGGCCAGATGGGGGGAGGTACAGAGAAGGGAATTGTTTGCTCATCCTCTCTACCTTTTTGGAAAAAAAGACACAAGATTTGTTCCAAAAATAAACCTACAAGGTTAATGAGTAAGTACATCTGGTGTAGTATACAAGAACATTGTTGCTTTTACCATATTTATTTAGCAGGCACAGTTATGCTCTCCACCCTAGCAGTCTTACTGTTTTACAGTGACTTCTTGTTGGAACTTTAGCACTTTGTACACCAATAGGTTTTCTGATTAAAACTCGCATTCTCTATACTCTAGAAACTTTTCGCTCTAGATAGTTGGGTGCGTATGTGTCAGGGTGGATGTCTGCATGTGCATACATGTGAGTGTGTATGTGTAAGTATGTGTTTAAAAGTGAATTCTAATGTTTGCTTTCTCTGGGGAGCATGTGTCTAGAAAAATAGCCATTTTGAGCTAAGACAGGATACAGACATGCACTGTGGAGTCACATTATTTACAGTCTCTCCACACACCTACCACTCTAGTAGTGCCAGTGAAATGATTTTACCATGCACAGTGCACCAGTAATTAACCTGGTATATTTCCTTTGAACTCCCTTTGTCTATTCTATACTTGTTTTCTTAAATGCCCTTTATAATTCTAAATCATTTTCTTAGTTTAGGAGCATAAAAATATATTGTGTATGACTAGGTTTGCTCATAAACTTGTCATATTTGATATATTTAAAGATGTGACAGCCTGGGGGAGAAAAACAGAAAAATTCAGGGGAGAAACCAAGCAAGTCCTTAGAAACAATTTTTTCCTCTGGGTCTTCATAGCTCTATTCCACTCAAACGTGCAGCCCATAGTAATGAACACAGGCTTGGAATATACTCTGAGATCGCTCTAGGGCGACCAGAGCTCAAGATAATTGTAATTTTTAAAAATAGGTTTCACCGTTGTTTGGAACCATCTACAATTCAATTTACTTTATCGCAAAAGCCATGAATAATGCTATGAAAGAAAATGGACAGGCTGGTGCTGCCAGCCTGGTTCAGCATTCCAGAAACATGCAGTTCTATGGATTCAACCAGTTGATAAGGACAGATTCAAATGGAAATGGAATTTCAGAATATGTAATCCTGGACACCAACCGGAAAGAATGGGAACTCCATAGCACCTACACAGTGGACATGGAAACGGAGCTGCTACGTTTCAGAGGGACCCCTATTCACTTCCCTGGTGGCAGGCCCCCTAGAGCAGATGCAAAATGCTGGTTTGCAGAAGGGAAGATCTGCCATGGAGGTAAGGAATGGAAAATCACTAGTAGTCAATGTGGCTCAGCTTGGGTTATAAGGGAACCTCTTTAGGAGAAGGCGTATTTTAATATTGAAACACTCATAAAATCAGTCATTTGCGTTAGGGTGACATACACATTTCTGACACTCTATTTGGTTAATTAAAAATAAGAACAATGAGAGGTACTTTTCAGCCTTGAATTATCACCCACAATTTAGAAGCCTCCCCACTACTCTTTTTAAAATGAATCTCACTCTTTCCCAAAGAGGTTACTCTAAAAAGAGGAAGACATTTGCCTTCTTCTTGCTCTTTTGTAGGCTGACCTATGATTGTTTCTCCTGCTTTCAAGGTCACCTATCCATCCCTTCATGTTTCCTAATACTGCCAATCAGGTCTCACCACAGAAATACCTTACCTATACTCTCTCCTCTCTAAACTCCCATTGAAATAAAAGTCTGTACCTCACAGCTTAGCACAAAATTGCTTTTCAATTGTTTCTTGTGTACTGATTGTGTCTCCACCCCTCCTCCCGAATATATGCTCCTTAAGGGTAGGGACCATAGCTAATAATTCTCATGCTGCCCAACACGGTAGGCATCCAGTAAATACTTACAGTTTGATTGACTGATGGAGCTCCTCTAGCTTGTGGAAGAGGGAGGGGAAACTTTGTCAAATCTCTGAGAGGCAGAGGGGAACTTTGGAAGGACCCATATTATTATTATGCAATTGTATACCAAACTCTTTTAAAACCAAATGAATGCATTTGAAAGGGGCTTTGATTTCTATTTTGCTTTAGCATGATACGCCCAACTACCTCTTCACTCACATAATATTTCTCTCAAAAATCTTATTAATCTATCCAAATATTTAGATTTTATCGAAGCTAATTTACATTTGGTTGAAAACACTAATTATCAAAACCAAATTTACCCCCACCTTGAAGGAGAAGTACTATGTTTTTCATCTGCAACTTACAAGGTCTATGGACTCAGGTGAATTAAAAAGGCCTTTTGTTTTATGAAGGCAACTTAGTACTTACCCTTCACAGGTGAGATAACATATTTATTCTTAAGAACTCTATTGCTGTCCAACTTAAATTAAGGTACTCAAAATTTTCCATTCGTGGACGTTTTCCTCCAAAGAAACACTCTGGTCAGCCTTAATTCATGTGATTTGTTATTGTCACAGTGGTGAGTGGTTTTGTTTCAGAACAGTGAAATTGCTTTCTGTGTCCATAAAGTCAACAAGACAGACTGTGCTGAGAAAAAATGGAATTAGGTTAGGTAGATGTGGCTTGATTTTAGAGTCACCAGAAAGCATGAGGAGTCACTCTGTGGTGCCCTTTATTTACTGCCTCTCTCTGATAATGCCATTCTTCCTCTTCCTCTCGATCTCTGCAGGCATCGACCCTGCCTTTGCCATGGTGGTCTGCCTTACTTTGCTTATAGCCCTGCTGTCTATTAATGGATTTGCTTACTTTATAAGGTACATTTTTTGTTCTTTTTGTATATAAAAAATACAAGCCCGTAATAGCCTTGTTAATATTGATTTCCAGGAAGTCGTTTCAGTACAATTGCCTCATTACATGACCCACTGATTTTCTTTTTTCCATAGTGGTTTACCATTCTTACAGGCCCCATTTGAAGTGAAGTGTTTTCACGATGCCAAGAATAACTTCCTCAGCTGTGTTGTTAATGTTGTTGCCGGTGAATAAATCTGGCCCTGAACACAATGGTGAAATAAGAGAACTAGTACTTCAGGGCCAGTCTACTCCCTATCTTTGTTCTCTTTCCCGCTAGCAGAGTCTCCTATAACCATCCCCTTGCCCAAATGATGTGTGAGGATAGGGAATGGAGTTGAGATATTTGAATGAATTCCAAGAATTAGGCAGACTTTGCTAGAATCCAAGCTCTAGGAATAATGGTATGAATTTATAGGATTATAATGGGGATTAAGTAAACTAAAGTAAGTAATGCACCTAGAACTGTATGTGGCTCATAGGAGGCACTCAACAAATGGTAAAATCTGAACCCCTTTCCAGGCACAAGGAACTCTCCTGCTGATTGTTGGAAGCCCAGGATGTTCACTTTGATACTCAAGCCTTTTGTCCAGGGTATCACATTCCAGATTTCTACCATCTTGCTTGCTTGGACAAAAGTGATCCTGTCTAATCATCAACATGTTTATTATTATCAAGTTTTGTCTTCCTCCCTCAGATCCCTTAGTACATGACTAAATAATCTAAGAGTTATTTCACAATCAGGGATAAGTGGCTGAAGATGGCTTAACATGACACCTCTTTCTTATAAATCTTGCATTTTAACATTTGGACCCTTTCCACACTAGAACAATTGGAGGAAAGTGAAAAATGAAATACATTATAATTATCCCACTTTCCCATTGCCACCCTGCAAACCACATCTTTATCACCTCTTAGTAAGACTGGTCCTGACAACAATATGGCATGGATTGGTAGGGAATGGAGTGAGGCTATGTTGGTGAGTTCTAAGAAAGAAATTCTATAGTGTATTAAATTTCTGTGTGATCGTGAGCAAACCACCTAACCTTTCTTGGCCAGAATTTTCTCACTTGCACAATGAAGAAATTGGATTAGATGATGTTTAAGAGTCCTTCCAGCTCTAATATTTTAATAAGTCTGAGAAATACTGGATTGAAACCATAACAGGTGTTACTCTTAGTGTTTAAAATGTTGGCATAGCTGTGAAAAACTTCTATTATCCAATTTCCCCAGTATTAGAAATTTGATAAAGCCACACAGAATAGTAGATAGCTTATGAATTGTTAAAACACACTTGATAAAGACACTAGTTGAAAGGAAGTTTTTCTTTTAATTTCTGTAACCGTGACATATTCCTGATAAGAGCAGAAATTTAATACCTTTAACTTAGCTGCTGCCAAACAATAAAGTATTTCATTAACATCATTAGATTCTTAGCAAAAATAAACTCTATACAATCAAAAAGCTTTCCTCTCTAGAGAGATGTGAGGAGTAACAGACCACCTAATGCCAAAACATCCCATGGCAATGTGGAAAATGGAGTCATTCGGTTGTTTATGTTACTTGTCAGCCCCCCAAATGACAGTTCTAACTGGTCTTTCCCACTATATGGACTGATTCTTTGGGCTTCGAGTGAGCCTAGTCTGCAATTCTTGGAAAAGGAAGGAAAAAAGAAAAAAAACACAGTGGGGAGGAGTTTGAAGCTTGCGGGCTGAAGGGCAAAGATTGGAGAGGGGCATGATTAGAGAGGAAAATAATTGGAGAGGAAAATGAGTTTGAGACAATTCATACTTCAAGTGGTCACAGAAAACTGAGAGATGGGAAAGAGGTACATCATTTCCCAGACTCACTTGGTCCTTGGTTCTTCAGCTAACAAAGCACAAAAGATGCCCCCTCTTTGCTGCCTTTCTCCCTCTCTTTGCCCACCACGGCTGCAATCAGAAGAGCTGAGCGGCTGATGAGATTCTGTAATAGATGGTGATTACTTGCAGGAGAGTAACTCTCTGTTCCTTTCTTTTTTGTATGTTTTGATTGTTTAAGTTTTTTTTCAGAAAGAAAGATGCAAAGAATGCAACCACCCCAAAACAAAGGATTCTTTGAACTCCTCCTTTCTTCCTACTCCTCCAGAACCAGATTGCATCGCCTTTCTATGAAGCTCTCCCATGCTTTGTTATACTAATGATGATAATGATAATAATGAGCCCTCATACTTTCATAGTGCTTCATGCTTTTCAGAGCACTTTCACATACATTATCAGATTTGATTTTCAAAATAACTCCTTAAAGTGTGTAATGCAAGGGCTATTATTCTGCTAGATAGACGAGGACACTGAGCGATGAAGAGACTAAATTATTTATCCAAGGTCACCTGGACCTGGCTAATTAATGACAGAATCTGCACTGCACCCCAGGTCTCTGGATTTGGAGTCCAGTTTGCTTTCTACTAGAGTGTACTCTGTAGCATGATTATTTTTACAAGTGTGCCTGTTTTAAGACAATTCACCACACATATGAAACAGGTAAGTTAGGGAGTGATGCTTTACTTTGCCAAAAGATTCATGTGCTCTACCCAAGAATCCACTATAGGATTTTAATTTTTAATTTTCACTGCAGGGCAGCAGCTCCCACAGTGATAAGGGACATATTTGTTGGCAGACAATTAGAAACGCATTAATTGTTTATTTACAAACCAGTGGAATCACTGAGAAAAACTGAGTTGCTGATACTTAAAGTTACAGTGACATCGTAAACTTCTCCTTAGAGCAACTTGACAAAGCGTTTTGATTCAGTGGTTGTTTTCTCCACCGTGGCTCTTGGCTTTAATACATTCCACATAGTAACCATTATGGGGTTACAGAAAAAGCAAAGCCAAACTATAGCTGTCAGAGCCCCCAAGACAAAACAGCAAAACAAGCATACTGACTAATCAAGGTTCCCTCCAAGTCTTCAAGTTGCCCAGTCAGACCTACCTAACTGTGTGAGTAGACATCATAAACCCCTATGTGTCTAGTAATTGATTTGCAGAAAATAATTACATTCACTGCAAATTAATGGGCATGTTTAGAGAGAATCAGTTTTAAACTGTGTCTGTAATGCTCAGACAAGAGAGCAATTCAGTAAAAGAAGAAAACTCAGTCAGCCTACTTGTTTGGAATCATGTAGACAAAGCAACCAACTGATTGAATTTTTCCACTTTTCAAACTGTTGCTTTGGCAACACATAGATGCAACTTTACAATACAAGTGGTCTTACAGGCAGAAATCTGGGCCCACAGCCAAGGAGCAAGGATTCAAGTCCTAGCTCCGCCTCAGGCTAGGGGATTTCATGCCAATTTGGTCAATTTTGTTTTGTTTCTCTAATGTGTTTTTGTCTATAAAATGGATATTAATAATTCTTGGCCCTGATATTATTAGGAAAAATACTATGGCATATAAGAAAGGATGATGAGCTCCTTAAATATATTCAGAGATGTTGTTTTGAATGTGCCCTTGATGTGGGATCACCATTTTATTAGTTTGAGAAACCATTCGATGCAGTGCCTTCACACCTCTCTTTTGATGCCTCTTAAGAGCATTTTAATTTTTTTCTTTTGGTCTTTGCAGTTTGCAAGTTGTGAGGGCCAGGGTTACTTACTTCATTTCCTGTGGGTACTACGGTAAAGATCCATGTGTGATTATACTCCCAATTACCTTATATATTCTTTAAGTACTGTCTTAGGGCAAATTAACCCTGGCTTTGCCAAAACGTTCAGTCCCTCTGATTTCATGTTTGTTTTAGGCGTCGTATAAATAAAATCCAGTTGATCAAAGGACCCAACAAAATTCTACTGACTTTGGAGGATGTAACGTTTATCAATCCCCACTTTGGCAGTAAGGTAAGGGGTATCACCTTCTTTTGCTGCCCTGTCCAATATGGTAGCCACAAGCCACAGGTAACTATTGAGCACTTGACATGTGGCTAGTCTGAATTATGACGTGCTGTAAGAGTAAAATACTCAGTGGGTTTAGAAGACAGTAAAAACATGTAAAATATCTTATTATTTTAAAAAACATTTGAAAAATTAAAAATGTTAATTAAATGTCAAAATTAAATATTTTAGATATATCGGGTTAAATTGTATTATTAAAGTTAATTTTACCTGTTTCTTTTTGTTTATTAATTGTGACTACTAGAAAAGTTAAAATTACATATATGGCTCATATTACATTTTTATTAAATAGTACAGCCTTAGAACAGTGTTGTGGAAGTAAATGCAGTGCACTTTGAGCTATAGTTTAGCTTTTACTTTTTGTAGTTCTTTGTATATTTGGAGTCAACATTTGATGGTTAGTTCTTCAAGGGAAGCAATATATATTTTTAAATATTAGCTTGACATAATGCTTATAATGTAGTAGGTGCTTGTAAAAGTTTGGTGAATTAATCAATGAGTGAAAGAGAGTTGGATTTCACCAGAAGATCTTCTCTGGTTGTGATTATAATAGAATTGGTGATCTTCATTTAAGGCCTGCCACTATGTCCTACCCCTGGGGCCAGGCTTTGTGAAAGATGACATGTAGTCCCAGATTTCAAGAGGATTACAGTTAAGTTAGAGAGACAAATCATACCACATAAACGAGACAATCAATACCATGATGTACAAAGAAACTAGAAATGTGGTAGGACTTCAGAGGAGGCAGATAAGTGGAGGGAGGCTTTTCAGAAACTTAGCACAAAAGCTGAGTCTTAATGAAGGAAGGATAGGATTTAAGTCACAGGTCACAAACTGGTAACCACTTTTGTTTCACCCTCACAGTTATTAAAAAAAATTAGCCAGAAATTTGAAATTGTAAAATTACATATAAAAATTTGGATTTCTGAGTTTTCTTTAAAAGTCGGAATATCTGTCAGCCTTGGATCTCATCATGACTATTGGCTATAACTCAGTAGTAGTTACATTTTGTGGAAAAGGCATACTCTTTGCAGTTTGATACAATTCCCACCACTCTATATTGTCTTATACTCAACATATTTCTCCTCTTTATATTATCTGTCTGACCCCATAGGTGCCCTAGGCAGAGGAAACAGCATAAACAGAAGCTTGGAGAACAGAATATATGGGGAAGAGTACTGTCAAAGCTAGCTAGTGTGTTTCCTTGTGCCAGTATATGTCGCCACAGTAAAGACACTAGTCTGTAATTTATATTATGGCAGTGGATGTAGGAAGAGTATACAAACATGTTATACTGTTTTCATGTGGCATTTACTCTTGCTATGCAAGATTTTAAAACCCTAGGTACATTGTTAACCTGAAGGTAGCACTACTCAGCTATTTATGGTAATTCTGTGAGGGCTGGTATGCTTTAGTCACCCAAATATGGTTTATGCCTCAGTACAAATGAGAGGAGGCATAGGTGGATATCTTACAGACTACACTGGACCACTGGAAAACCTATACAAATAAAAGGCTAATTCAGTCCAAAATTGAGCTATGTATATTATTTTAATATGTTAGAGCTAAAACATCTAGACAACTGATATGAACAAGGTTTGAGAATCGTTTATGTTGCAGTAAAAATAAGGGGAGGCGTACAAAACTGTACCAGGTTGGAGAATTAATTGTTATCTCAGTGACCAAAATGGTTGTTTGCCTGAATGTGAAATTGAAAGGTGTATTTAATTAGTTAGTTGAGTGAGAATGGATTTACATAGTACTACCCTGAGCAGTTGTAGTCAAATTAATTGTTCAGCTGTTTGATTTAATTCTCAATTATAACCCAAATTCTTATTTATTTAAATCATCAGATCTTTTTGTAAGTTTGATATTGTCTTCCTGGAAATGTATTAATGAAAGCCAAAACTGTCACTGTGGATGAAGGCTACACTCCACCCTTGTGGCATAAAAATTTATTGATATTAGTCTCCATTTTTGGAGCCACCAAAGGACCCTAGGACTCATGGTAGTAGAATTTGTCTGGATTTGTCATACTCAATATGTCTTGTATAAAATTTCCTGCCTGAAGTAGAAAGCATAGATGTTGAAGTACAAGCTCTGAAGCAATCCTAATACACAACCCAATACTAATAAAAAAGTATTCACTTTTGTGACAAGATGTTTTATCCAAAAATGGATGTTCAGTAGTAAAAGTAGATAAGTAGAAGTTATTGTCTAAATGTAGCGAAAATAGTAAAGTTTCAGTCAAAAGCAATTAACCTATTTGTAAAATCCCTACTTCTTTGGTGGTATCCATGTCAAAATGACAGTTCATATCAGTTGCCTAGATGTTTTAGTTCTAACATATTAAAATAATATACATAGCTCAATTTTGGACTGAATTAGCCTTTTATTTGTATAGGTTTTCCAGTGGTCCAGTGTAGTCTATAAGATCTCCACCTATGCCTCCTTTCATTTGTACTGAGACATAAACCATATTTGGGTGACTAAAGCATACCAGCCCTCACAGAATTACCATAAATAGCTGAGTAGTGCTACCTTCAGGTAAACAAAGTACCTAGGGTTTTAAAATCTTGCTCATCATGATAGACTTTTTTCACTTGTGCATAAAGTTTGACATGAGAATAAAAAATAATCACCTTTTACCATATGAGTGAGAAAAATGAATAGTAACAGGGCTATTACTAAGGAATTGGTATACTGTTATAAGAGAATAGTAGCCTTATAGTAGGGAATGTTCTTTTGCAAATGAAAAAAAATTAAGTTAATTAATTACTTTTTTAAATTTTATTTTTATTATTTTGTCCCAGTTGGAAAAGGATGGCATTACCTCTAGAAGATCATAGCTCTTGGCCTCCAGATCCCTTTTGGCATTTGGCTTGTATCAGAGATTCTGATGGGAAAAGACAGGGGAAGCATACATTTTCCTTAATTGCTGTGTAGTCACAAACTTGCAGCTGGCTGTGCCTAATCAGTCAAGAAGCCAAGCCAAGAATTCCATCCAAATGGAATGTCTGAAAGTGTAAACTCTTAGTGAATATAAAATTAATTCAGTCTAGAAAAATTGGCAGGTCAGGAGAAGTCAGATTAGGAAAGGAAGTTTTTGGAAGAAAATGAAGCTGAAGTCTAAATGTATGTAGATTTTGGCTATTATCTTCTTTCTCCTTTGCCCTTCATGGAGAGGTCTATATCTCAATATACAAATCTAGGTGCTCCTGCTGAGATATGAAAATAAAGAATGAAAGGGAAGTAGATTCCTCCCTGACCTTGCTCTGTTGGGGAGAATTCAGGTTGATGCAGAGGTTATGTGAAGAGTCAAGTTTTATGTCTTGTCTGAAGTTTGAGCTGTTGAGATTTCAGCACATTGGGAACTGGATAGAGTTTACCACTGTCTTGGAACTTTGATTGTGATAATCTTCATAGAAGGAGCTTAACTCTGGGCTAACTCAACTGTAACCTTTAGTTAATCAAAGACTTTTAAGAAGTAGAGTGTTGGGAAGTACTTAAGATTAATTTTTATTGGCAAGCAAAGTAAAATAAAGCATAATTTAGTCGTAGAAGGACAACAGGACGAGAAAATATAATACCAAGATTCTTGTCCCAGTCCTTGTGTACCTCTGTAGGTCTTTGTTTCCTAATTATAAAATAAGGATGTTGGAGTTGATGATGGGGGCAGTCCTAGAAAATACCAAAATGTAACTACTAGCTCTGGATTGCTATAATTCTAAGAAAGGCACATTTGCGGGTATGGAGAATATGAGGAACCTGTAGATTTATGTGTCTTCATGTGAAATAAGTCTACTGGTTCAACTGAAGATACAGAAGTTCAATTTTAAAGGTTAACACAGATTGCAGATAACTCTTCCTCTTGTCATTCAACTGTGCAATTCCCAGCCCTTTCTTACCAGACTTATGTGTGCAAGTGGAAAATCAAGGAAGAGAGATTTGACCTATTTAAGCATCAAACTCATAAATTATATATAGGCATGTGATCTGCTCACTCTCTACCATTATTGCTTTCTGGGATACCCTTTGCCATTAATCTTAGCTGCACATAGAAGGATGCCATTCCGGATAGTATCACAAAAAGAGCCACTCCTGAGCGTCAGCAAGGTGGGATGTTGTCCTAGGTCTGCTATTGATTTTTAAAAAAATGTTAAATTTGTATAAACAACAATTCCTGTAACTAAATAATTGACTATCTGTATGGTATTAGGAAACTTATTTCATCTTTTTTTGGTCTTACTTTTTTGTCTATAAAGTGAGGGTCCCAGATTAAATTATGACTGGCTTTCTTTCTTGCCCCCATATATAATTCTAATCCTCTCTAGGAGATGGAAGAGCCTTTATATTTTTTGGTAGTACATGGTGGTTAAACAAGGCACCAATCCTGAACTAAAAAAAAAAGTTAAGAAGGATAGGGAAAGTTAATCAATCTCATGTTTACTGGGATAACTCATATAGTTACTTTCTTAGGAATAAAAAAGAAAATTCACATAAGCTCGGTACCAAATCATGAGTATTTTGTTCATAACTGTTCTTTCCTAATCCTTTCACAGAGAGGAAGTCGTGCCAGTGTAAGCTTCCAGATTACCTCAGAGGTCCAAAGTGGGAGGTCCCCAAGACTCTCCTTTTCTTCAGGGAGTCTAACTCCAGCTACCTATGAAAACTCCAACATAGCGATTTATGAGGTAAGATATTTAATGGCTGTCTAATCTACTGCTTTCTTGGATTTTAAAATGAGGCTATGATTTAGTAATTAGTCTTTGGGTCAAAATACTGGGGCTTTTGGTAAGAATTTTCAGTTTGGTGTCTGTGTCTGCTTATGGACTTCTTTGGTTGATATTCTTGGCAATTATTTTCCTCAGCAACAAATCTACTTATTTATAACTTCACTGATCTTTCAACTCCATGTATTTCCTATGGATGTAGAAACAAGTTCTTGACACCCAAACACTTAAATATGTCATTCATTCCAGAAGATATATAGATAATAATAGAAGAAATGATTCCCTGAGTCTATTGTTTGTAATGAGATGTCTAGAGACATGCTTGTGCAGGGCAGGGTTTGGGGTACCCTTCTCTTCAAATTCTAGTTGTTCTTCCTACACTTGTTATCCTCTGATGTTGAAACTTTAAAAATTATTCAGTTATTTATTTTTCTCCACGCATTCTGCCTCTTGGAGTAACAGGTTACTTTCTGCTGCTGAAAATAGACATTCTTTTTTATTCCACTGAGGTTTCTGTCTTTCAAGCTTTAAGAGGCTTGTACCACTTGATACTGGGATTTGGCAACCAGAACAAATCTTGCATCAGAGAGATGAACTGTTTCTTCTCAGCAGGAAAGAGTTAAGCAGGGGGCAAAAGGGAAACTAGACTGCCTTTCTGTTCCTTCTAAGTGACGCCTTCTCAGTGTGGTTTCCTTGTTTTGTTTGAAGATACTCCCAAGAGCAGTAAACACTCTCAACTTCAAGAGTAACTACAAAGTCCAAAACAGGACAGAATGAGTTTTCAGACTGTCAACCACATTGGATTTTTCAAGTGAATACTCTCCTCCATTAGATAAATAATTAACAAGGAACCTTGCTATGGTTTGAATGTCTCCCTCTCAAAATTCAGGTGTTGAAACTTAATGGCCAGCGTGATGGTTTAAAGAGATGGGGCCTTTAGAGGGTGATTAGGCTATGAAGGCTCCTCTTTCATCAATGGAATTAAGGCCCTTATAAAAGAGGTTTCATGCAGTGTTTGGCTAATTTGTCCTTCCACCTTCTGCCCTGGGAGGACACAGCATTCCTCCCTTCTGGAGGGTGCAGCAATGAGGCAACATTCTTGGTAGCAGAGAGCAGCCCTCACTAGACAACCAAACCTGTTGGTGCCTTGATCTTGGACATCCCATCCTTCAGAACTGTAAGAAATAATTTTCGGTTCTTTATAAATTACCCAATACTAACAGGCTAAGACATAAATTGGTACCAGAGCAGTGGGTTGTTACAAAAAATACCTAACACTGTAGAATTGGCTTTGGAACTGGGTAATGGGTAGAGGCTGGAACACTTTTGAAGGGAATGCTGGAAAAAGTCTTGGTTTCTGTGAATGAAGTGTTAAGGGCAATTCTGGTGAGGATTTGGAGGAAGAGATAAATTGTATGGAAAGCTTGATTCTTCTTAGAAATTACTTAAGTGGTTGTGAACAGAACGACCACACTGATAAAAATATGTACACTTTGAGGAAGTCTTAGATGGAAATGAGGAACAAAGTTGGAAAATAAGCCATTCTTGTTATAAATTGGCAAAGAACTTGGCTGAATTATGTCCATGTTCTAGGACTCTGTGGAAGGTAGAATTTGTGAGCAATGAATGAGGATTTTTGGTGGAAGAAATCTCTGAGCAGCAAAGCATTCAGGGTGCTGCATGGCTTTTCTTAACTGCTTATGGTAACATGTAAAATGTGAGAAATGGCTTAAAGACATAATTTATTTTAAAAAACAAGGGAAACAGAACATATAGATTTGTAAAATTCTCAGTCTGGCCATGTGAAGAATGAAAAAGCATGTTTAGGAGAGAAAACCAAGAGTGTGACATAAATATCTTTTGATAGGCAGGTTTGTAGGGATAGAAGGAAGCCAGATGCTATTCATCAAGATTATGGGAGAATGACCCCAAAGGCATTTTGGAGATCTTCAAGGCTGTCATGCCCATTACAGGCCCAGAGTGCCAGGGCCTTGAGGGTTGAACTGGTTTCAAAGGATAGGCCCAGGACACTGGTGCAGTCCAGGTCATCTGTGAGATCACAGGTCTTGCCTCCTGGGGCTGACTCAAATCTCTACTTCCCATATTTTAGTGCAGGGCTCTTTGGTCTTCCCAGTTGTGGCTCAGGTTGGCCAAGGTGTGGCTTGGCCTACTGCTCTGGAAGATGCAAGCCATAAATCTTGGTAGTAAACACATGGTGCCAACCTTGCAGGCTCTTAGAGTGCAAGAAGTATGGAGGCATGGCTACGTCCATTTAGATTTCAAAGGATGTCTTGGATAGCCTCAGGACCCAGGCAGAGACTTGCCACAGGGGCAGGGCCCCTGTAGAGAGTCCACACTGGAACAATACCCAGTGAAACTGTGGGGTCTGGGCCACCACAGAGAGTCCTTACTAGGGCAACACTCAGGAAAACTGTGGAGTCAGGGCCACCACAAAAATCCCCCACTAGCATAATGCTTAGTGGGGCTTTGGGTTATGGCCACCCTTGACACCCCAGACCTGTAAAGCCACCAGAATGCAATGCCAATCTGGGAGAGCTGCAGTCATACTGACTCCAACCTGTGAGAGCTGTGGCATGGGTTGCACCCAGTTAAGCCATGAAGGTGGAATCTACTTGGGCCATAGGGGCCCACCCCCCACCCCCATGTGTCTGGGAGTTGGAACATGGAGTCAAAGATTATTCTCAAGACTTACTTAATGTTGTTTGTTTTGTTGGACTTTGGACTTACTTTGGACCTGTTACCTCTTTCTTCTTGCCTGTTTCTCACTTTTGGGATAGAAACTTGTATCTTGTGCATATTTCACCATTGTATTTAACACATGATTTGTTTTATTTCACAGACTGATGTGATGATATTAAGATGTGAGGACCTTAAGAGGTAATTAGGTCACAAGGGCTTCTTCTTTGTGAACGATATTAAGGCTCTTATAAAAGAGGCTTCATACAGTCTTCAGCTAGCTTGCTATTCTGTATTCTGTCATGTGAAGACATAGTGTTCCTCCTCTTGGGAGGATGCAGCAATATGGCATCATCCTGAAAGCGGAGACAGGCTTCTCCAGACAACCATAACTGCTGGTACCTTGATCTTGGACATCCCAGCCTCCAGAACTGTGGGAAATATATTCCTCTCTTTATAAATTACCCAGTCATAGGTATTCTGTTATAGCAGCACAAATGGACTATAGGCCTTCAACACCAACATTGGCATGGCATGTGTTTGTTCAGTCTACATGAGGGCTTTGACTTAAATTAGTGGCAGGATGTCTCTATATCTTGCCTTGGACTTAATTCAATCAAAAAGGAGATCTGCTTCAAATGTAAACTTGAGGTATTGGGGAATTGTCAGCTCTACTCTCTCAAAGACCTAAGAAAGGGTAGTCAGATGGCTTTTGAATGTCAAATGGAATGAGCTGATGGCTTTAGAAATGTATTGATACCTCTGGGATTCTGAAGTAAATCTCAATAATCTTGGTTTTCATCTGTAAAATGAAGGGTTGAACTAAGTTCTTAATCTTGCTTGCTTATTGGAATCTCCTTGGGAAATTTAAGAAATCACTGCTCCCAGGCCCCACTCACAGCAATTCTGATTCAGTTGGCATGAGGTAGGGCCAGGTATTGGCATTTTTTAAATGTTTTCTGCTATGTGCAGCCTAGGTTGAGAATTGCTGGTCTAAGAGATCTCTAAGGCCTTTTCTGGCTAAATATGCTATCATTCTCTGATTCTATGGAATAATGTGTTAAATTGTGGTATGTTTTATTTGGTGAGGCTGGAAGGTTATAGTGTAGAATTGAGAAAAGGAAAAAAATAAACATCTGTATGTATCTGGCCTTTAAGAATCTGTCAGATATTTTCTCATTTTGGAAGGAGGCAGAGAGGTGAGTTAGTTCCCAGAATGACTATTGGTCAGTCAGATCTTGAGTATTCCTAAATGGTATAGGTCAAATGGGGCCTTTATTCTTACAAAAGGAGGGTTTTACGAGAATAACACCTACAAGGTGAAGTCAGTATTAGGCTGATGGCAGGGTGTGAAGAAAGGCAGCGGAGGCTAGAAAACTGGCCTGACTAAACAGGACTGATTAAAGAGGTTAAAGTGGACTCTAGGAGGAAACATAAGCCAATCAAATTAGCAGATGAAACAAAGATGTCATGTATCCTCTGAAACAGTTTTCTATTAGGCATGTTTTAAAGAAGACTCATTGTCTAGTTTCTGTTTAAAATAAATCAAATTTTCATAAAAATTATCATTGGAAGACCTGGAATTTCCAGATAATGTGCCTGGAGTAGCAGATACCTAATAGCAAAAGACAGGTTTCCCTAGGACATGCCATCACGTTGTACAACATTCACACAAATTCACACTTTTATTGTACACACAGATGCATAACCTTTGAAATTGTATGGGAAAGTCAGCCCTTATTTCACAGATAGCCTTTGAAATGTGAAAGGAAATCCAGATGAGCTGACTTCCAGGCAGAAAGAACTGTGAATGGCAGATGCAGTGGGAACATGTCATGATCTGCTCTAATAGCTATAGTCTGGGTGAGATGGGGTGTGGTGGGCGGAAGTGTAACCCTGACACATTCAGAGAGAACCAACTGAACTCATCTCCCCTCTTCATTTTCTGACTCCTTCTTCCTCTTTGCTTCTCCCTAGGTTTTCCTCTTTGTCTCATCTTTCTCTCTCTTCATTCATCTCTCTTTCCTAGAGCATTTTTTCTATCTTCTTACCTTCTGCATCCCTTGTAGCTCTCTCCCCACCCCCTTCCGTCAACCATGTTTTCTTTTTAATCACAGAATTGCAGATCATCAGAGCTAAAAAAAAAATCATCTAGTAAGTCCAGAAATCATCTAGTAAGTCCTAAGAAGTCATCTAATAAGTCCAGCTTTGTCAGTGAGGAAACTGAGGCTCAGGCAGATTAAGTGGCTTGTCTAAGGCCACCCTTGAGTTTGAAGCAGAGCCACGTCTAGAATCTAGTGCTCTCTCCCCTTAGTTAATACACTATGGCTTTGGTTTAACACTGATGGACTTTAAATTACTTCTAAAAAGTTTAGTGAATAGCGTTTGATGTTTCTTGCTCTTAATTAAAAAGTGAGTGATGAGTGAAGTATTTTATCATTCTCTCTTAAAAGAAAAAAGCAAAACAAATAGTGCATGTGTTGTGAAGATAAAACTTGCCCATTTCCTCCCTTTTCCTCATTATTCATGAAGTAGAATGCACAGAGACTCAATAAAAATTTGCTTACAAAGTTTGTGAGAATTATTTAAATCTTAAAACAAACACACACAAATCCCCCAAACCAAAGAAATCCCAACAAGAGGAAAGAGCAACAAAGTGGGAGATGGAAGACCTTGGGTCAGTTTGTGGCTTTGTTACTACCTAGTTTTCTAACCTTGAGAAAGTCACGTAATCTCTTAAGTCTTCGGATTCTTTATCAAAATATGAATGGATTGGGTTAGTGATACCTATGACCCTTTTCAGCTCTCGTATTTGTTGATTTGGCAGGAAAAAGATCTGCTTAGCTGCTCGTGGCAGTTAATAAGCCAGACAGAAGGCTAGCCCACGTTTGCAATAGGGTTGGCTCTAGGAAGGGGGTATCAGTTACCAGGCACCAGGACTGCAAGTTCTGATGTTCAGTTTGTGTACTGCAAAAAGGAACTACATCTAAGAGTGTAATATTCACATTGCAAACATATGCCAACCGATGTGTGAGTGGTATAAAGTGAGCACAGAGATTCTGGCTTCCCAACCCAGTTCTGGAATGAAGTGGTGGAAGATCCTTCTCATATCTGCATCTATAGTGGCACTCCCAGCTATGCACATACACGATCACTGGTAAACCCATGTGTAGCTGGGTATGTGCTATCTTGACTATGCTCCAGAAGTTTCTTGAGGTTGCTTTCCTCTCCTGCCTAATATTCTCAGAGGCCCAATTTCGACTTCTCACTCCCACTCCTAAAGCCTGATTCCAAAGCTGACAAAGAGGCTTCACCAGGAAGATAGAGTTTGGTGATATGCAGAGTATCCATGCTGCTAGTGGAATGTGCTCCCTGGTGTCTGGGGGATGTGTCCATAAATGAGAGTATGGTACATGTATGTATACAGCCAGGGTGTGCTGCCTAACATCACAGGGCTGCCACAGGCTGTGTGATAATATACTTGCAAAGTTAAGGTTTTTCAAATTTGAGAGAAAATACCCCTTGAAACTAGCACAAAGGTGCCATAGTGGCCAGCAGTGACCATGGGCCCAGTAACATAGCTGCAAGGTGTGGAGAAGGCTTCCCTGACTGAGAGCAGATTTTGATGAAAGAAACTGAGAAGTAAGTGAAGAGAGTATGAGGAGAGTACCACAAATATGAGGAAAAGGCAAAGGCTGGGTTGGTGGGTCACAGACTTTCACATGTATTAGATTCACATGGAAGACTTGTTAAAACAGAGATTGCCTGACCTCATCCTACGATTTCTGATTTTCGAAGTGCTGGGTGGGACTTGAGAATTGGCCTTTCTAACCAGTTTCCAGGTGATGTTAATGCAGCTGGTCCAGGGACCACACTTGGAGATTTACTGGATCAAATGCTTTGACCATTCAGCTGCAGGCAGGCACTGATCCCGGACTACCCTTCTGAACTCTCTGGGCACTGAGCCTGGCCAGTGAAGTTTTTTTCTTCAGCTGCTGAAGGTCTCTGAGGGCCATTTCCTAGTTAAAGGGCTTTGAGCTCCTTGGCTAGTAAATGCTAATACAAAGTATTGGCAAGTAACTCAGACGCCTGCAGCTTCCATTAGCCTTTGCCTCTGGCAGGTTTCCAGATGCAGTGCCATAGCTGGATATATTCTTTAAGAGAGTGGTTACACTCTCTTATTTTTGGAATTTGACTGCACAGAGCTCTCTGCTTTATTATCTCTACTTGATGACAAGTTGGTGCAGCCTGAAATGGAATCTTCAGGCTATAGGTAATGGATGTGAAAGCACTTTGAAGAGTAGAGAGCATTGTGCAAATGTAAGGCATTATTACTATTATGGAGAAAAAAGAATCTATATATTTGTATTGTTTTTTAAAAAAAATTGGGTTGGACAGAAACTAAATAGGGCTTGATGACCGATGAATCCTTAAGGCTATGCACATAGAAGAAAATTATCAGGCGCTGGTGTTGAAGTGAAACAATAAAATAATTGTTGTTTTTAACTTGACAAAAGCCTTAAAATAGCAGTTTTTTACTTAATAAGTCAGAAATAGACTTTCGGAAGACTCTAGATTACTTACATTACTATGGTAGTACATTGAGTGTTCAAATAAAAAAAGAGTTTAATCTAGATTTAAACCAATTGGTTTATCACTAAAGCATAAGACATCCCCCTCCACACACAAATGGCCTGTCCCACAAGAGAAAAATGGATCAAGGTAAATGCAGGAAACATTTGCTGCACTACATCTCCCACCCTACATTTCCCTCCACAGACGCCTCAAGGCAGTGGGAATTGCAACCACTGACCAACACCATTAATCGCGGAGAACCTGGTGCTACATCACTTAGCTATGAAAAAGTGAAATGACCTAGCACTTTCTGCAGTTAGTTAAGAGGCTTTGTAAAGAGTGGTATCATTCCTTTTCTGGAGTCTACATACTTGCAGTTGTTTCCCTGTCTTGAGTAACTGTAATTTTAAAATTTAACTTCTGTGCATGACCTCATTTCAGCTCAGAATGCAGAATGTCTGTGAGGTGGAGGGTGGGAGAGAAGGAAAATGTCTATTTGGATTGGTGGTATAGCTATAAACCCTTTATGTGGAAGGGAAATTGTTCTAAAACTGCTGGCAACTAAGTTTCATCACTACTCATTTTCTTTTTTTCTTCCTAGGGTGATTGGGTGTGGCTGAAAAAGCTCCCCTCTGGAGATTTTGGAGACGTTAAGTCCATCAAATCAAATGCAAGTGATGTGTTCGAAATGGTATGAGAAACCTTCATTTATGTAAATTCCCACTAAAATCAATCTGTTCTCCAAAGTAACTAACATCAGAGCTGTTTAGGAAGACGCCTTAACAAATCAGTGCAGGGCAACTGCAGGGTTGTTACTGGCTTGGCATGATCACATCGTGCAATGGCAAAGATATGTGCTCTGGAGTCAAAGAGATATGAAGCACTCAAATCTCAGTTCTACCACTTAAGAGCTGTATTAACTTGGGCAAGTCATATAAATTCCCTCAGCCTTAGTTTCCTTATTTGTAAAAGGGTTATATTCATGTCGATCCTCCAGGTTGGATGAAGATTTCAAGAGACAATACATGTAAACCATCTTGCACATTTCCTGGTGCACAGCTTCTTTATCAAGTGGTAGCTATTATGACTATTATCAGGTAAATATCCCATAATCATTTCAAATCTTAATTTTCCAGTCACCTGGTAATTTCTATTTAAAAAGTGTTTTTTTTCCTAATCCCACTAATTATGTTCAAGGAGTCCTTGGGTGGTTTCCTTAAGAAAGCAGCCTGTAGATAAGGCAGGGATATTGATGATCCTTCCTAAATCATTTTAAAATCTTGGCTCCTCCTTGAACTGAGTCCATACAAGACTTATGAATGCTGTCTTGGGCTCCTTCAGACTCTTGAAACTGGGTTTTAAAAGACAATTATAAATTGCTCTACTTTTATGGAGCAGGCAATTTCAAATCATTCCAACAAATCTGAATGAGGCAAGCACTGAACAAGTGAGAAAACAGAGGAAATGAAAGATATGTGGCCTGTGGAAGATAGGACATGCGAGGTCAGGATGAGATGTCATGATTTGATATTTTTCTTACATGTGATTGTAATGCCTGGAGATGAAGGCAAGATAATAAGACATTAGTCCAGAAGGGGGATCAAGGTTAGAAATAAAATAGACAATTCTACACTGGTTTGGTAATCCAGGATGCTGAACAGAAATCTAGATCTAAATTATAGAGCCAAAATAGACCAAACCTGGGACAGCTGATACACTAAAAGTATGGAATTAATCAGATAGGTATTGATCCAAGGTAGACTGTATTAATGACATCTTTTTTTTGGGTAGCTTTTAATTTTGACATAATTTCAAATCTACAGAAAAGCTTCAAGAATAATTCAAAGATTCAGCAATTCTTTACATTTTGCCTAGTTGTTTTCTATTATCTATTGATATATTTATCTATATTATTTTTCTAAGCCTTTTGAGAGTAAGTTGTAGACCCTGTGCCCTTTTACCTCTAAATACATCAGTGTGTATTTCCTAAAAACGCTACAGTATAATGATCAAAATCAGAAAATGTAACATTGCTACAATTCTATTATCTAAACTACTTCCCATATTCTAATTTTACTAATGGTTTTGTATGATACAGTTTATATTCCCCCAGGTCGGTTTCCAATCCAGACTCACACATTTAGTTGGCTGTGATATCTGTTTAGTTCCTTTTAATCTGTAACAATTTCTCAGACTTTCTTTGTTTTTTTATCTTGATATTTTTTAAGAATTCAGATCAATTATTTGATGAACTGTCCCTCAATCTGAGTTTGCCTGTGTCCCTCAAGATTAATTTAGACTATGCATCTTCAGCCAGATTACTACAGAAGTTACGTGTCTTTTTCAGTGCACTTTATGAGGAGGCACTTTATCAGGATGATATTGATCATCCCATTATTGGTTATGTTAACTTGACTACTTAATTTAGGTGGTGTCTGCCAAGTTCCTCTACTGGAGAGTTACCGTTTTTCTCTCATTTTAATTAATATATAATTTTGGGAGAGATACTTTGAATCTATGTAAATATCCTGTTCTTCATCAAAGTTTTACCCAATAATTTTGGCATACATTGATAAATATCGTATTCCATCATTCTTTTTACATTTACTAGTTGAGATTTTATTGTAAGAAATAATCTTCTCTTCCTCATTCTTTCATTTATACTGATATAAATTCATACCAAACTCTCTAATTCTAATCCAGTGACACAGGGTTAATTCTTTTTTTTTTTTTTTAACTTTTCCATATTTGTAATTTTCTTCTCCGACAGTGAAAAATTGCCCTCCCATTATCCTCATGACATCTCTTTATGTGTTCCCTTCGCTGACTTGTGTGATGATGTCAGGTACAGAGTGTAACTCAAATTTAGAGAGAAAGCCAGGATTTTCTAGAATTTGCCATGTAGAAGTGCTCTAATGCTTTTTAGTTGAAGGCTTTTATGAAGCTGGAAGTGGATCTGATCATATTATCACTATGAGTCCAGCACTGCCTTGACTACTTATGTGTATTTATGACCTTAAAACATTAGGGCTGGGTACCAGGATCCAGATGGAAAGTAAATCCTCATGAGCCAGATACAGAAAGGAGCAGTGCATAATGGGATGGATGTCCTTGAAAAACAAATAGCCAGAGTCAGAAGGCCACAGAACTGATAATTTTGAACATGTTTTAAGATCACAACTTCTGCAAAAGCATGTGCATGAAAATTAGGCTGTATCTCTTAGCCTCATGTTCTTCCCCATAATGTGGAACAGATTGGCATATTCCCTGTACTCCCTTAAAGGCAAATGGAAAGTATCCTGAAGTTGTTTTTGGAAAATTCTCAGTTGTTAGAGATTCTCCTTCTTTAAAAAATGTGAAGAGGAAGAAACTGCAGTTGCTGTGAAACAAAGTAAAAAAAATGGGGGCCATTCTCAAGCCTCTATTGAAAGTATTATCTTCTCTGGAGCCATTTCTTCTCAGTGGTGGCTGTTATTATGCCTCAGTACCTCAAGATCATGATCATGTGGTGAAATTGTACCCCTTGCTTACTGATGACTTTTCCAAAACAATGATTCTCTTGCCTTTGTTAAACACACACTCACAAGCTTTTGAGGCGAATGCTACTCTGTTTTAGCATCTTCTGCACCTCCTGTTACTTCCATCTACTCCTCCTGTTCACGTCCCCTAATTTACTGAATATTTTAAAATATGGATCACGGTCATCCTCTCTACTCCAAGACCTGATGTTATGCTGGTGACATCAATTAGACATGGAATGTGGACAACTATGTATTTTAACTATTTCATTCTTTGCCGTATCATTTTAATAATCTTCTCTTCCATTCTAGTTTGGCCAAATACTGCTACCATTATATTAATACCTTGTGCTTTTCCATCATCTATAACTGCTACTGAAAATGCTTCACCTCCAAAATTATAAATTCATCACACTCTCTGAATTCAACCTCCTTTTATCCCAACCATGCCCATATCTGACTATACCAGGTCTTCCAGTCTACTGACCTCTGCTTTCTCCAAACTCACAAGTCCCTGTTTTGTTTACTTTACTGTCCAATTCAGATTCTATAATCTATCATTTGAACATGTTCTTATTAATATTTCTGTCTTTTTGTTCAGACACACTTGCAAAACTCTAGTTCTGTATGATCCCAACTCTTACCTTTCTTTATGCTTGCACTTGAACAGCCAAATATTATAGCAGAAAGTTATGCAACAAAGTATATTGTTTCCACTATAAATTCATGGTTTCTTATCTTTAAATGTCCCTTACCACTACCTCATAATTCCATTATACTTCATTGGTTAATTCACTTTTTATAAACCATACACCAAACCTTCTCCATTCTCCTTGAAGCTTCAATGTCCTTCTCTTTTTCTATTTTTATTATTACTATCCTGGCCCAAGCTACCATCATCTCCCACAAGAGCTACTGTGATTATCTTTTTTTCTTTTCATAGACTTAATTTTTTTTAAAAAAAATTATTTCCATAGTTTTTTTTTTTGGGGGGGGGAACGGTGGTATTTGGTTACATGAGTAAGTTCTTTAGTGGCAATTTGTGAGATTTTGATGCACCCATCACCTAAACAGTGTACACTGAATCCAGTTTGTAGTTGTTTATCTCTTGCCCCCTCCCACCCTTTCCCCCGAGCCCCCAGAATCCTTTGTATCATTCTTATGCCTTTGCATCCTCATAACTTAGCTCCCGCTTATAAGTGAGAACATATGATGTTTGGTTTTCCATTCCTGAGGTACTTCACTTAGAATAATAGTCTCTAGTTCCATCCAGGTTACTGTGAATGCCATTAATTCATTCCTTTTTATGGCTGAGTAGTATTCCATCATGTATATAAAATATATGTATGATGTGATTATATATATATAGCATATATATATATATATATATATATATATATCACAATTTCTTTATCTACTTTTTGACTGATGGGCATTTGGGCTGGTTCCATATTTTTGCAATTGCAAATTGTGCTGCTATAAACATGTGTGTACAAGTATCTTTAGTATCATAACTTCTTTTCCTCTGGGTAGATACCCAATAGTGGGATTGAAAGCTGAATCAAATGGTAGTTCTACTCTTAGTTCTTTAAGAAATCTCCACACTGTTTTCCATAGTGGTTGTACTAGTTTACATTCCCACTAGTAGTGTAGAAGTGTTCCCTGTTCAGCTGGGTGTGGTGGCTCACGCCTGTAATCCCAGCACTTTGGGAGGCTGAGACTGGTGGATCACCTGAGGTCAGGAGTTTGAGACCAGCCTGGCCAACGTGGTGAAACCCTGTCTCTACTAAAAATACAAAAATTAGCTGGGCCTGGTGGTGGGCTCCTGTAATCCCAGCTGCTCAGGAGGCGGAGGCAGGAGAATCACTTGAACCTTGGAGATAGAGGTTGCACTGAGCTGAAATCGCGCCGTTACACTCCAGCCTGGGCAACAAGAGTGAAACTCCGTCTCAAAAATAAATAAATAAATAAAAGTGTTCCTTGTTCACTGTATCCATTACAACATCTAGACTTACGTTTTTGGAATGGTTTTTTGTTCACAGGAAAATTGAGCAGAAAGCACAGAGAGTTCCCATGTATCTCCTTTCCCCACCCATGCACAGCCTCCCTAACTTAACAGTAGCTCACTGATTATAATCATAAACTTACACTGACACATCATTATCACACAAAG